CTCATTTTTTCTAAACCTTTTTACGTTCTATACTTGGACTTAAAAGTCCAAGTGCATCAAGATGGTGAAATGAATTACAGTTTAGTAATATTCCCACCACATAGACAAAATGGATTCAATTACATAATGGTAGCATTAAATGTTATTATGAAGGGGATCCAGAGTCTTGAGGCTAGACTTTCAGAAAATCATGATAAGCTGCTTAAAACAGCTGAAATAGCACATTTATAGGTTTTCAAGCCATAGGTTTGCTGAGGGGAGGGAGCACAGGGAAGGAGTCATTATGTTTGCTCAGAGGCTTTGGTGTGCTAATCTGTTATCGAGGATTTAGTGTGTAGAAAAGCAGTGCCAGAAAGTTTCCAATTTGATTATTATGTCTTAGATTGTATGGTCTGAGGATGCTTTCTGGAGTGGCTGCTGTTACTGCAGAGTGCATGTGAGAGAGGTTTGGATGGAAATTCTGGCCCTTGGGCTCTAGCCTCAGCAGCAGGGGATGGCCGAGACAGCCAAAAGTTGGGCAGTCCCAATAGGGAGGAGGCAATGGCAGCCCTGCCCCATACAAGGTTGCCCCAGCACTCCTTGCCCAGTCACCCATGGGCTTTCAGGTGACATGAAGATGCTGAACTGCTTTCATACAACCAGATCCCTCTCTTCTGGACTGCTGAGAAGGCCTCTGAGTGGATAGGACACCACTGAAACGTGGAGCCCACTATGCAGTTCTCCCAGAACGGGGCAGCCAAAGGCAAAGCATTGTTATCTCCTACAAAACCCCCAAAAGAATTTCACATTCTTGGTATTTAGAATTACAGATAATATTTTATGATTGTTTAATAATGTTTTTTTTTTCCCTGCCTGGAGAAAAGGAAGATATGATTTTTTAAAAGTTACGAAAGAAGAAAATTAATCTCATAACTTTTTAATTAATATTTTCCTTTTTTTTTTTAATTTGACAAATTGGAGAGAAGATAAAAAGAAGAGGAAAGCAGAAAAAAGAGTCAGAACACAAAAGATTTCAATACTAAACTAGAGGGATGAACTTTCCTGACTGCCAGCACACAAATGAATTGCCATTTTCAGGTAGAGGAATTTTTAGTTCGCTTTTCAACAGCAGTAAGACATAAATGTCCCCCCTGAATTTTATGGCTGATGATATTAACAAGATTTCATAAAAATTTCTAATTTTATTAAAAATATATTTCCATGACTGTTTTGAAACTTCAGTCATTTCAGACTGTTCTGGTATGGAGTGTTTCAAATGCTCCAGACTCCTTGTTTTCCTGATGATGTCCCCCTGAATATTTCCCCGTATTTGGATGTGCTAACTCAAACTGAGTTGTTGTATACTTACCAGGAAATATTTGTGAAAGCTCCCTGGACCAGAGTAATGTTGTGTGCCAGTACTGGGAAACATTTCATGCCCTGTGAGTGGCCAATACCTTCGTCAGGTAGGTATTGGTCAGGGTGCTTGCTGAGTCATGGTCTTACGATAAAAGGTCTGTGACCAGGGAAGAGAATATATCCATTGCTGGCAGGCAAGAGAGCATTTCACTTCTGCACTACTTCTAACAAAATATCCATAGGCACTTCTGGTCACAATTGATCAAATATGCTATCCTCCAACAGCGGTTTGGGGATTTATCTAAGAAATCTGAGGTTTCTTAGTCCTGAACAGTCCCATGCAATATGATACCTGCCATGATGCACATAATCTGGCACTGGCCACTGAGAAACCTTTTGTGTGAGGCTCCCTCAATCCTTGATGGAGAAGGAAAGCGACAGAGGGACTTCTACATGGTGCTTCATCTCTATCTCAATAGATATCTAAGGGAGAGGTGATGAATTGCCTTTTGAAAGTGCTGCTTCTCACATGTTTTTATCAGGGAGAGGGCTAAACATCTAGCTGGCAAGCCAATGGTTTGCTAAACTTAAATGAGATGTACCTCAGCTATACTGTTGGCAGTGTTGCATCCTTTATGTCCTGCCAATCTGAAAGTGCTGTGTGATTGTCATACAGCTTTATTTTCAGTGAATTGATATTGAAGATTCTTATTTTGGCTGCAGTGTATTAACTGTGTAAAGAATTGAATGAACTGGTCACCGCAAAAACTTGCTGGCTGGTTGCTGCATGCCCCCCCCGGCAATAAAAACATATGCAAAGAACAAAGAGATGCACAAATCGACTGCAGATATGACCACACACGTTAAGATGTAACACGTCATTGAGACAGGGGAAAAAGCCTTTGTAGCAACCAGCACTGGGTGGAACTGGCTTAATCCCATTAAAGAGCACCAAACCCCATTGATAAAGGGCCAGCTTTTGTGTTCTCACTTACACTGACCTTGGGGAAAAGGAGCCTTGGGGGAAGGAGCAGGACCTGGGGCAGCACGGTCCCCGTCCTTGCCTGCAGAGATAGCAACATGTGTGGTAAGTGGCAAGTCTGACATGAAAGCATGTGTGGCACTGGTTTCTCTGAGCACCCTGCTGTCTGAGAGGCAGAAGGACAGAGGAAGCCTATAAATCTTCTCACGCCAGGATGTTGTGGCATGTGAACGTGTGGATTTCAGAGGAAAGACAATGAGAGAGGAACAGATACTGTGATTCTTGGGAAACCAACTGCTACAAGCTTGGATCCTCAGAGCCTACAGGCTCTCCCAGGCATCCCATGTTTCAGCATGTTGAGAAGATCCAGTTGCGCTTTGCTTGGATGCCTGGATGAGAAACTGGGGAAGATGGAAAGCGAGGTGCTCATTTGCACAGTCTGTGACGGAGGTGCTGACCCTATTTCCAGTCATGACAGGTGTCCAGGGCTCCCCAGGAGGTATTTTATTGCCATCTCTGTTCTTGTAAGTGATTGCACAAAAAAATAAAAAGGAGACTGAACTACCAAGAATAGTTCCTGTTGTGCCATTTTATACTCTTTGGGTTTTTCTATCAATAGTGGTTTGTCTCATACAAACTTACATCCTTTGACTACAAATGCCCTGACCCTGTCATGACAGCTGGCTTACCCCAACTCCCCTCCAGCAGAGAGATGATCTCTCATTTGTAGCCTGCCTGCATGCTCACTTGCCAGCCAGAAAGGCTGTGCTGGCTGCCTGGGCAGTCTCTGCCAAAGATAACAGCTGAGTTTGGCACTCCCTTCCCTCACTGGGGTCACAAATTCAGGTCAGTCTTCTATTCCCTCACTTCATCTTAGTTGAAACTGGAATCAAAATTTATTAGGGTGTGTGTACTGAGAGGAAGGGGAGGCTAAAACACGGGCAGGCAAGCTGGCAGCACAATTGCAGGATTCTCATTTCCTGTGCTAAAATTATCCAAAGCTTGCACGAGCTTTAGTTTGAAGTGAGCCTTGGTTTGGGGAGCAAACCCTGGTAACAGGCTTTGGGAAATGGTCCTGGGACTCCTATGGGATGAGAGGAGAGAGTTTTCCTTCACTCAGGGAAACTTCTCACTGCTTCATGCATGGGCTGTTGCCTTGTGACCACCTATAGGGACACCATCACAGGAGAAGAGTCTGCCTCTATTGTGCTTGTCCTGCAGGGCTCACTGCCCGGAGTCATGTCATGATGAGCCCCTAAATGAAGAAACATAGGATTAGTGGGCTGCAGAAAACCCCAGCACTCTCCACCCTACCTCGGCTGGTGCCCCAGGGAGTTAATGTACCCAGTGGCATGCTCAGCCTTGCCCAAGTGCCTGTCAGGTGTCAGTCATTCCTAATCTGACTGTCGCAGACTGTGGTGTCTTCGTGAGATCATTTGCTTATGTGAAAGGTTTAAGAAGTTTTTAACTGCTTAGCTGAAAAAAAATAAAAAAGATAATTCTTGAATTGTTTTCTTTCCACATTGGCCTGCTCCTATATATGAAAAGTTTAAAACAAAGGTAGGGAATGCATCTCTGATTTTACAGAGATGGTTCTATTTGGTGGCATTTACCACATATAGTTGCACATATTTAATTTTGCATGAGCTCTTTGTGGTTCACCTCTAAGCAGATGTTCATCTACACCTGAAAACATGAGAGGTGCTCATACTTGGCTCAGCCAAGGGAGAAGAGACGAATCAATCTGCAAGTGAATATTTGCAGGGAATGTATTTTTAGACTTAGAATTTTAAAACTGGTGTGTGTGAATCTGGTTGTGCATGGGGCTTTCTTTTTGTCTGTCTCTCCCTGCTCCCTCCTTTCCTCCTCCCACCTATCCCCCTCCCTATCCTGCTTCAGAAGATTAGCTTTCTTGGGGCTTTTATAGTTGCATTTTTAAGTCAGTCAAGATCATTTTCTGGTGCTTAAATTCCTAGTTAACATATCTTGGTGCCATTCGGTGCTGGAAATGATGTAATTTATTGGGTAGATGGTCATTTGCATAAATAGCTGGAAAAACAAGTTTAACTTGATATAAATAGCAAGACACAACAGTATATACAGTACAACACCTTGCCTCCTGCTGCAAATCTCCTGAATTCTGTTATTCTGGTTTCAGCATGCCTAGCTGCCTCCTTACATTCACTACTATGAAATAAGATAATTATAGCACGAATAAATATTACCCAATCAATCTACTGTAACAACTGTTAAAACAAGGCATCTTATAAATTTTGCTAACAAAATATGCTTCTACCCAATATACATAGAAGGTAAGTTTCTCTGACCTTGAAATAAATTTCAAGAGCAAAGAACATCACACGCATAACAAACATCCAGTGATGAGAGGCAGAGCCAGGGTCCAGCCCCATTGAATTCAGCCTCCCCAAAACCTCCTCAAGCTTAGCAGCAAGAGCATGGTGTGTTTTGAAGCAGCTTATCTTTTCATGTACAGTGTAAATAGGAATTGTCACCTGAAATCACAGTTCTCCTTCTTCCCCTAAGCCTAGTGGCTAGACTCGGGCGAATTAACCCTCCTCTCCTCAGGATAACACCAAACTCCATTACTGATGGATGTGATGGCCGCACGAAACATCAGCAGTTTGGTTCAAGCCTCTTCAAAAATCAGAGCATCCTTTCCATCTCCCAAACATAAAAGAAAAATAAATCATCCGTCAGCAGAGATCAAACTACACTACTCAATAGTAAGCTGCTCACATTTCTATGCAGAAAGTACTGCATGGGCTCATAACATTAAATACTACAGAAGATGGCTCAAAGAGGGGAAACATTTAGACCAACTATAGCAGCAGGTCTGTTTTGAAATGCTACCGTATTTCAGGTTTACATTCTGGGAACACTCTGTAGGTTTGCGTAACTGACTATGATGAGAAGACAGTTTCTGTTGGGGTGGAGGTAGGGGAGAAAGATAAGACAAAATGTCAGATCGTAAAGATTAATGCCTTTTAGAAGAACATAAAGATGTGTGTGGCAGAGAAGGGTCTCAAGGGAGAAGCTAATTATGATATACTGTTTGAATACCATTATGCACTAATTAATGAGAAAAGATGATGGATTTGAAAACCTTTGTGCTACTACAGGGAAGAAGAATAGGGCCAGTGCTGGCAGATTTTGAAAACCCCACTGCAAGAAGCAGCTGGATCATGCGTTGCCTACACATCTCCCAACAAGCATGTGCTGAGTTTCCAAGACAAAGGGAGAGGCACAGCCATCTAACCCCTGCTAGATTCAGGTATCAGAGAGGGTTGGTTGTTCTGACCAGACCCTCTGTGGGATGTAAGGTGGAAAGGATGGCATGCACCATTTGTACAGCTGGTCTGCAAGCTGTGGGGAGTGCATGGTCTAGACTTGTAGCAGAGAAAGAGAGCCTTTCCTAGTTGATACCACTAAAAATGTTGCCTTAACTTTACCTCTAAGGTTTATCTCTATCCCTCATTTAGAGGGACTTAAGGTATGCTGGTAGCCACCCGAGACTCCTCAGGACTTAGTGAAGAAAGAACTCAGAATGTAATCTGGGGCCCAAGGTAGGCTGAAACATCTTTCTAAAAAGCAGAGTAAATTTGGTATTCTTCCTCCTGCCTTGGAATGTGCCCTGGGGTGATGGCAGCATAGGTCTAGGCTGATATAGCATGGCTAAAACCCCTGTAATATCCACCTCCCATTTCAAATGTGTTATGTGGAAGAGTGGGGTGGGCTGGCGGTGAAATGTTGTGTTCTTTCCTGCAGTAATGGAGAAGCAGCTCTTACTAGCTCTGCTATACTGCATGTTGCACCTTCTCTGCCAGTCTCTGGACCAGACACATGCCTCTTTGCTGGTGCCATGGGTCTGCTGGGAAGTCAGATGCATGTGTTGCCTCTCACAGGGGTTTTGCAATGCAGACTAATGTCTCTAAGGATTGGGACCACTGAAATACTGCTGTGGCTCATCTTGTTGTGTCTCTATTGTGGTTAAATAAATGTCCTTTAGACCATTTGTTGTTGTAGAATGGTTCATTTACATAATGGACTCTTTAGTCTGTCCAAAAGAGGCACCTGTCTGAATTTCCCACCTGAACAGCTCCTTGCTTGTGTTAACCCCTGAAACATGCCTGGAAATTGAGTGAGAGAGTGCTAGTTGGCCTGGGACAAATGCCACACCCAAATTTTTCATGCCAAGTGTTCATAATGGCCTCTTCAATGTCCCTGAAACTTGTCTAGGGCTTGACTGTCCTGAAAAATCTCACAGGGTCCATCCTAGCAGTCATGCAGTACAGACATCTAACCTCCAGGCATGGGAAGCGTTTGTTACACTGGCTTCTTGCTGGCCTTATGGTCCCATGTTCATTGATGTGGAGTGGCCAAAGAGTAAGCCTTTATGCATAAAGATGCAAAAAAGGCAGATAGCAAGCTTAAATGCATAAATATATTTGCTTGCTGGGGACTGACTTCCCCTGGGATCTGATTGAATTTGCTGCTTCTGGTAAATTTTGAAAACTACAGACAAATCCTAGAATCATAGAATCCTAGAATCAGCAGGGTTGGAAAAGACCTCTGAGATCAAGTCCAACCCTTGATCCACTACCACCATGGTTACTAGACCATGGCACTAAGTGCCACATCCGGTCTCATCTTAAAAACCTCCAGGGATGGAGAATCCAACTACTTCCCTGGGCAGCCCATTCCAATGCCTGATCACCCTCTCTGTAAAGAAATTATTCCTAATATCTAACCTAAACCTCCCCTGGCAGAGCTTAAGACCAAGCCCTCTTGTCTTACTGATAGCTGCCTGGGAAAAGACACCAACCCCCACCTGGCTACAACCTCCTTTCAGGGAGTTGCAGAGAGTGATGAGGTCTCTCCTGAGCCTCCTCTTCTCCAGGCTGAACAACCCCAGCTCCCTCAACCTCTCCTCATAGGACTTGTGCTTGAGTCCCTTCACCAGCCTTGCTGCTCTTCTCTGGACCTGCTCCAGCCCCTCAATGTCCTTCCTGAACTGAGGGGCCCAGAACTGGACACAGTACTCCAGGTGTGGCCTCACCAGCACTGAGTACAGGGGAAGAATCATTTCCCTGGTCCTGCTGGCCACACTGTTCTTGACATAAGCCAAGATGTCATTGGCCTTCTTGGCCATCTGGGCACACTGCTGGCTCATGTTAATCTTCCCATAAATCCAGACTCCAAGGTCCTTTTCTGCCTGGCTACTGAGGAGTATACACAAGATGTCTGGAAATGGATGTCTGGTAAACTCCCCTTGTAAAAAGGCAAACCATTTTACCATTACTTTTGATGCATTGTTGGTTAAAAGAGGAAGATGTACTTTCTGTCCTTCCAAGAAGACATTTGTGGTTTGTGTGTGACAGCCATATTCATCCTGCCAATAGACCTGAATCAAATTAATTGTCTGACATATCTATTTTCTTGTTGCTTTTCACTGAAAACATGGCTTTCTCATCAAGTGAAATTTTTTTCAGTAAA